CCCTATCTTAGGGTCTTTTGTTAGCTTAAATGTTAGAATGTATATAAATCTCTTAGAAAGCACAAAGCAGAGTCAGAACACATAATGGCAACTCAATCATATTCAGAATTAAGAATAAAATATGCTTAAATATGTAAGTGCTCAGCACAGTGTTTGGTGCAGAGCAGGAGCTCTATGCATGGGCCCTATGGCTATTACTGGTACCTCCTTTTCCCTCCCCCAGGTCCCAGCCATCCAGACCTAGCTGACCAGGACCCCATCTGCACCTGGAGAGGGCAGGACTTACCTTGCTGATTCAAAGGATATGATTGGGTGTGAGGGGCTGGGGTGGAACCTTCCTTTTGGAGGGATCCTTCAGCAGCGACAGGATACTTTCCCCTGTCCTAGGGAGAAGCCATTCAGACACTTATCAAGCCCCCATTGTGTGCCAAGCTCTCAACTCACCCTCGAGCTCAAAATCTCCCCCAAGGAGTTCCCAGGGCCTGGACCCTTCATTCCTTCCCCAATCTCTGCCCATGGCACTGTTCCTCTTTCTCACCTGTGCCACCTGCAGAGGGCAAAGAGCAAGAGCAGAGTGAGGTGGGCAGCCAACAGTGCCAGGTGGAAGGCACGATGCAGGAAGAGGGCCTCTGGGAGGAAGCGCCAGTTAACTGTCCAGCGGAAGAGAAACTGGCGGCCAAGGTCAAAGGAGCGGGATAGGTAGCCGATGGGGTTCTCCAGCAGGAAGGGCAGCCCCAGCAACACCTGAGGATGGGTGTGATGTCAGCAGAGCTGTCCAGGCTCACCTCAGCACCATGCTAATCACTGAGGGGAGTGGGAAAGGTTGTAGGACTCATTGGTTCTCTAATTCCCACCAGGATAGCAGGAAAGCCAGCCCACAACCCAGGCCACAGCCTGGGGCCAAAGAAGCTGAGGAGGCAGGTAATAACAGTGCTTTAAGTTGGATTCACCAAGTCATAAATGGGCAGAGCTAGAAAGGTCCTCAGAGACCATCTAGTTCAACACCCTTATTTTACAGCTAAAGAAACCAAAGCCCAGGGGTAGTGGCTGCCAGGAGCAGAATCAACTCCAAACCCCTGTCTCTTGGCTTTGAGGAAGTCTCAAGGATGGAAGGAGGCCAAAAAGAGTGGCCTCCCCTTCATTAAAAAGGGGAATGGGTGAGGCGGGGGTACCTGAAGGACAGCACAGATGCCCAGTTTGGGGAGGGCTCCACGGAGACCAAACTGCATGAGGAGAAGGAACAGTAATCCAGGGGCGAAGAGTAGCACGTTCATCTTCACAGAGACTGCCAGGCTGGGGAGGGCAGGGGAGAGGAAGGGCTGAGATCAGCTCCAGGGCCATGCAGCCCACCCAGAGATGTACTCCCTACCATCACTATAGCAACTCCTCCCCTCCCCGGCCAGCAAGCTCCTGGATGGGGCCCACACTCAGACCTGCCGGAGGGAGGGTAAGGCAGCCTGGGAGGAAGCTGAGGGCAGGGGGCAAACACCTTGTCTCTCTGCCCAGACTGAGCCAGTATACACACTGAGTATTTAGAATGGGCAGGGACCAACTCCAATAACAGATACTGTCTGGAAGGAAGAAATGGGGGGGGGGGGGGGTGTTTTGGCAGGGTGGGGGTGGTGAGAGCAGAGCCTTTCTATAGATCCTGGACCTGCTTAGCAGGGCCCTGACTAGTCCACATTGTCTGGCCACTCTTACTCCCTCTGCTGCAGAAAATTAGGGAGAAAGTGATGTAAATTTAAAAAGTGAGAGAGGGGGCCAGAAGGGAGGAGTATTGACCTGAAACAGCAGCAGCCCCAGCCCCAGCGCTGGGCCAGCAGGAGGTTGATACTGAGGAACAGCAGCACCATGGCCACCGGGTCATTGAAGAGCCGCAGCACAAAAATGGAGTGGACACGGTAAGAGGCACAGCACATGAAGAAAAAGACGAAGGGCGGGACCTGAGAGGTGGGCACAGTGGGGAACAAGGTCAGCTTACCAACTCTGAGCCATCTCTGCTCCCCAGCCCTCCCAGGTTGGGGCCCCCTGGTCTCGGTAGCATGGACTCACCTTGCAGGTCTGATGATAGATCAAGAAGACAAGCAGCAAGGTAGCCAAATAGAGCACAGCAAAGATATGCTGGGCCATACGGATGTCAGTGCCCCGGCCAGTGGCATAGTATAGCCCCATAAAGATGTATACAAAGCCGGCTGGATACCTAGAAGATGAAAGGGAACGTGAGTCTGGGTCAGGCCACACAGCCTGGTATCCAGTCAGCCCCTCACATCCTTGCTGATCCTCCTATCCCCACTCACACAAGAGGTCCGGTGTCACCCTGCAGCTGGGTATAATCATAGGTGCCATTGATGACGCCCTCTACCTCGGCCATGTAGGCCTTCCAGTCGATCTCTGTATCTGGAAAAGGACAGGATGATGTGGTTACTTCCAAGTTCTGAATTTGTCTGCCCTCTATATCTCCAGCCCATCCAAGCACAGAGTTCTAGCTCATTCCCAGCACTTCTATCATAACTCCTTATCTAACTGCCTATCTGACATTCACTGGGTGAACCCAGACATCTCAAACTCAACATGTCTGTAATTGAACTCACGATCTTCAACTCCAAATCTGCTCTCCTTCCTGGGTTCCATGAATGGCACCATCAATGTCCCAGCTGCCCAGGCCACAAATCTGGGTAACATCTTTGATATTTCCTTCTCTCTCATTTCCTACCACCAGTCACCAAATCATGCCTATCCTTCATTCTAAATATTTCTACTATCTCATCCTTCTCTGCTATTACATATTCAAATTTGGGCCTAATATAATCTCTAGCCTCAATGATGCAAAAGCTTCCTAATTAGGCGCCCAGCTTCCACTTTCACCCCACTATAATATAGTTCCCACCCTAATATAATAGAAAAACACTTCAATGATTCTCCAAGGCTCTTAAAATAAAGACCAAACTCTATTATTCCCATTTTTAGAAGAGGAACCTATGAATTAATGAGGGTAAGTGACTAGCTCAAGATCAGTGAGCTAGGAAGGGTAGAATTGAGATCGGAACTCATGGGGTCCTAAATTCTTAACCACCACGCTAAGTGTAACCTTAAGGCTTCCAGACTCCTTCATAATCTGGTCTCAACTTCTGCAGTCCCATCCCTCAGTACTACCCACACTTGATTTGTGTTCTGCCTCTAAAAAAGTTCTTTCAGTTCCTCAAAGGAACCAGACTTTCTCTTTTGACTGGAGGTTTCTGAAACAGGATCCTCTCTGCTTAGGCTCTGCCTCTCTTCCCCCTCCTCTTTTCTCTCTTTGCTCAACTGGCTAGTTCTTACCTCTCAAGGGAGACTCTAGGAAGCCTTTCTCGACTCCTCCAGTCTGGCTAGGTGCCCTCCTGTGTCCTTTATAGCACTTTGTCTTACTACTACCATGATGAATATGATGCACTATAATTTTCTGCTAACTTATCTTTGTCCAGACCCAGACACTGAAGCAGGAAATCTGTCTATGTTTTTCACCACTGAACCGCTGGCACCTAGCATAGCGTTAGGCACATAATAAACACTCAATAAATGTCTTGAATTAATCGTCTTTAGCAAGAAAGCTTTAAGCCCCATGTCTAGATTCAGCCTGGAAAAGAGCCGCCAATAATGCCAAACGGACTCCAGTGATCACAAAACGCCGTCGCTGAAAAGAGACTTTCAAGATCTCAATTGAACAGATAGAAAATTGAGACCTCGCACGAGAAGTGAGGTGTCCAAAGCCACGGAGACAAGCAGCAGCAGCAGCAGTACATTAACTCGGACCCAGGTCTTCCGACTCCCAGCCTGGTTTACTTTCTCTGCCTGGCAGGCTGTACGTTCGGGGCAGAAGGCCAATCTCTAGGGTCTCCCCTTCCGTCATGGGGGAAGGATTAAGAGCCGGATTGGTTTTCTGTGGAGCAGCCTTGGGACTTGGGTAAACGATATGGGTTTGCAACTGACGACTAAGTAGGATCCGGGGTATGGATTTGAGATCCGAATCTGGGTCCCTGTTTGGGTCAGGGGTTCGGGTCCCTCTCCCTCCCCTCCCCTCCCCTTCGGCGCACTCACATGCCACCCTGTGAATGACCCAGAAGGTGATGCCCACCTCCGCCAGGCAGAGGCAGGCGGCCACCAGCAGCGTGTAGCGCGGCTCCAGCAGCAGTAGGCGCCGCTCTTGCCAGGCGCGCCGCAGCCACTGCCCGCAGAGTCCCATTGCCCGTGCTGCTGGACCTGCCCGGCCGCGTTTCCGCACGCCCGCCGCCATCTTGACGGTGCCCCGTTCCTGTGGGCCCGCCTCCCTGGAAGCCAGACACTTAGGCACTTAGGTTCCGCTCCCGGCGCCCGGCGTCGCAACGTTGTGAGTGCTGATCAGAGTTCCCCGAGTCCTTATTTTGAATGGTCTTTCTCTTCATTACATACTTAGGGCACACAGGCGCTAATGTGGATCGACCGTTTGCCTAAAAAAGTAACATTTCTGCCCGCGCTGTCTCCTCTCCCCTACCCCGCGACCCCAGCCCAACACTTCGCCTGTGCCGGGAATATCTGTGTTCATGCCAGTCCCTGCTGGAGGGAAAGATCTGTGTCCCCGCCCCCCCCCCCCCCCCC